CAGACGTGAGCCCTCTCCCCCTTTCCCATTCCCGCTTCTCCTCCCGGTCGCCATTCCCTCCCCCGCTCCCCTCCCTCCGCTGCAGGTGGACGATTTCAGCGCGGACCTTATCATAAGCCAGCTGCTGCTGCTCGACTCGCAGGACCCGACGCGCGACATCAAGCTCCTCATTAATTCCCCAGGCGGCTCGGTGACGGCGGGCATGGGCATCTACGACGCCATGAAGCTGTGCCGCGCGGACATCTCCACGATTTGCTTCGGCCTGGCCGCGTCCATGGGCGCGTTCCTGCTCGCCACGGGCGCGAAAGGAAAGCGCTTCTGCATGCCGAATGCGCGCGTGATGATTCACCAGCCGCTGGGAGGCGCGCAGGGATCGGTGAGTACATGGGGAGGGGCAGGGGGATGGGGAACGGGGGTGGGGGGGGGGGGGGGGGGGGGGGGGGGGTGGGGGGAGGGGGGGAGTGGGGGATTTCTCCACTCCACATGGTACAAGGTGCAAGGTGCAGGGTCCCTCCCTTGAAGTCTCCCCTCTCGCTCTGACACATGCCTCCTTTTCCCTTCCCCTTTGCTTCTCTTCCTCTGGAGGGCATAGACGTGGGGCTGCAGGTGCGAGAGATGATGCACCACAAGGTGCAAGGTCCCTCTAAGTCTTCCTCCTCTATTCCTAGCAACCCCTCTCCACCCCTCCGCACCCCTTCCCATCTCAGGCCATAGACGTGGGGCTACAGGTGCGAGAGATGATACCCAAGGTGCAAGCTCAAACTTGTTTGATTTCACCTCTCCAACTCCCCCCTTCGGCTTCCCCCCCCGTCCCTTCCCCTTCCCTCCCCGCTTGTTTCCCCCCCCTGCGCAGGCCATAGACGTGGGGCTGCAGGTGCGCGAGATGATGTACCACAAGGTCAAGCTCAACAAGATCCTCTCACGAGTCACCGGCAAATCCGAGGAACAGGTGCGATTCCCCAATTGCTACCTCCCCCTTGCCTGCCTTCAATCTTTGGTCTTCATGTACCAGGAGGAACAGGAAGTACTTTTTTTCCATTCTCAAGAAACCTTCTCTGCTATTCCTCCCTTTTCCCCTCCACCCTTACTTCCTCTGCCTCCATTCGTTCCATCTTCCCCCTGCGTCTGGCCTGGTGGACGGGGTGATGGGGGCTGGTGACCCCAACCTCACCAACCGCACTGGCATCTTGTTCTCGATTCTAGTTTCCTTTCCTGACTGCTTCCATCTGTCCTGTATTGGACAGATTGAAATCGACACAGACAAGGACAATTTCATGAGCCCATGGGAAGCGGTGGAGTATGGATTGGTGGACGGGGTGATGGGGGCCGATAATCCCAATCCGACCAAACGCTCTCCGATCTGTCACTCCTTAATACCACTTCCCTTTCCTGGCCCCTTTCATCTGTCCTAGTTGCAGATTGAGATTGACACCGACCGGGACAATTTCATGAGCCCATGGGAGGCGGTGGAGTATGGATTGGTGGATGGGATGATGGGGCCGATAACCCCAACCTGAATACTTGCACATACATCGTGTTCTCAACTCCACCTATTCCTCCTGTCTTTCCCACCTCAGATTGAGATTGACACGGATCGCGACAATTTCATGAGCCCGTGGGAGGCGGTGGAGTATGGATTGGTGGACGGGGTGATGGGGGCTGATAACCCGAACCTGGTGGCGCCGGTGGGGGAGGTGAGGGAGCCGCCCAAGACCAAGGTGTGGGACCTGTGGACCATCAAGGAGGCCAAGGAGAGGAAGAACCTGCCTGGGGAGGACCAGCTGCTCAACAAGTAGTGGCGCTGGGGATTACCGGTACGGTAGTGGGGGATTGTTAATTACAGTATCTGGTACGGTAGTGCATGTCAACCACAGTTCCTTTCGCTGCAATATATGGATGGAATGGACTGGAGTGCTAAAAGCTAGTGCATGCATATACATACACATACACAGACGCACGCACACAGTGGTGGCTTGGTTCTGTGTGATCCTTCCTTGCCTTGTGGGGTGTGCTAGTACCGTACTGTGTGGCCCGGGTTGGGGAGATGAGGGAGCTGCCCAAGGCCAAGGTTTGGCACCTGTGGTGGACCAAACCATTTAGGAGGCCAGCAGGCCCTCAGATGTCAGCGTAAAACATGCTGATTACGCTGATTTTGTAGCTCTGAATTTCGTTTTCCCTGGAAAATCAGTAAATGCTTCCATTTTGGGCTGAAATTTCAGTAAATGTGAGTTTGCCACACTGACGGTTTTGTGTGTTTCTGAACGAGTTACACTGAGGAATCAGTATACTTCAGTGCGTCACCCTGAAACGGATTTGACCGGCCGGGGGGAAGGGGGGGGGGGGGGGGGGGGGGACGCGTGTACAGGCTGTTCCTTCGCGTGATTCACGAAACCCCACACACACTTGGAATCTTCTCACATGCGCTGTATTTACAGCTAGTGCGCGCCGAACCGTTTTGCCGCGCTGGAAGCCAGAATACCAGAGAACGGCTAACCTAGTTCACAACTGCCCAATGAGAACACAGACAACACACCACTGGTGGCAGGGTCCACGCCAACACGCCAGGGATGGCAGAGTGGAGTGGGGGTGTTGTCATCTTGCCTGGGAAGACGGAAACCCTGGCCTGGACCAAGATCCCTCGTCATCGCAGCTCGGGAGAGGGGGTACCCCCATCTGCTCCCTCATTCTGTTCCTGCACTCCTCGTGAACCCCTGCAGGAAGTGATGCTCGAGCTGAAGCAGGAGTAGCTTCTCCCTCAAGCTCGGCATGCTCTGCAGCGCTGAGCAGCCATGGCGGTTTCGACGCCCGCAGGTGACGGCCCTCCGCCCGTCGCAGGCACGAGGCCAGCCGCTATTACTGGCTTAGACTTTTTACGATGCGTTCACGCTGCTCCCGCGTTAGTCCCGCCGTCAGCTCAAGCCGTGCCGTTCCCTTCCACTGGCCCCGAGGCACCTACCATCTGGACGCAGGGCGAGTGTTCGACGCATGTAGGCGCTGCCGCTTCACCTCCTGTCGCTGCTGCATCAACTCGTGTCGCTGCCGCATAAACGCCTGTCGCTGCCGCATCAACGCCTGTCGCTGCCGCATCAACTCCTGACGCTGTCGGATCTACACCTGCCGCTCCCGAACCCACACGGAACCGTCAACCTGTCGCTGCCGGAACTACTCGGCAAGGTCCTCGTCTTAAAAGGGGTATTAAAGTGAGGTACCACCAGACCAAGATCGGGTGGGGTTCCAGTCAAGCTACACCAACGTCCGGTGTGGGTAACTCTTCCCCGAAGGCCCGTCAGCGTAAAATGAAGGGGAAAGCGGTTGAGGTGTCTTCCGATACAGAACTGCCCGACATTGCCGAGGAGAAATACCAAGAGGCTTTAGCTATGTTTAACAAACAATGGTCTGACGACTACCCGTGGCTTGTACTACTGCAGAATAAAGCAGGGTTCCCGTCAATCAAGTGCAAGGTCTGCATTGCGCACGCCGGTACGGGGACGAACTTCGGCGCCAAAGGAGAAGGGGCGACCGATGTTCAGACTTAGGCGATGCGGAAGCATCAGCGCACAAGGAAGCACCGCCGCGCTGTGCGCAGACAGAAGACAGCCGAGGCGGCTCTCAAAGCAAATGCCCGTATTGACGACAACCCGAATGTGAAAGACGTGGAGAAGGAGCGCCTGCTCGCGCTGTTTCAGACGGCGCTCTTCATCGCTAAGTCCGACGCCCCGATCGAGATGTACGTGGACCTCGTCCAACACCTGGCGCAGCGTGGCACCCCGGGCTTCCCAAAGAACAGTTATGGTGCGTACTATACGACGTAAGTGACACTGCTCTTGTTCAACTGGCAGCGGGTTGTGATGCGCCAGAGAGAATTCATCAACTCGAGTCCATTTATTGGTCTGACCTGCGACGAGAGTACGGACCGCGTCAAAGGCAAGCACATGATTGTGTTTGCAACCTTTCTACGTGAGCACGCCGTCACCACAGAGTTCCTAACTAACCTCTCCATCGAGAAGTGTGATGCAGCTTCTCTTTTTTCTAAGCTCACGGAATTCCTTGACAGTATCAACCTCCCGCTGGAGAAGGTTGCGGGTATCAGCACCGATGGGGCACCTGTGATGATAGGCAACGACACGGGCCTCGTTGGGCGCCTTCGCCTGGAGATCCCGCACGTGGTGGCTTGTCACTGCATCGCACACAGGTAAGCTGATGCTGTGGTGGTGTTGTAGCAGTGTGAAATGTGCAACGTGGCAGTGCGAATTCTAACACCCCCACCTGTGCTTTCCTACCCGTGGCAGGGAGGCGCTTGCTGCAAAGGAGGCGGCTAAGGCACTGCCCGAGCTTGGCATCATTGACGCGGTCATCCGCGCATTGCCGGAAGATCTAGGCAGATCCAGCAACTACAACCGCAAGTTCAAGGAGCTGCAGGAGGTGTTCACGCACACCAACCTCGAGGTCCAGGGGATCCACTCGGTCCGCTGGTTGAGTCGGGGCGATGCTATCGCCCGATTCGTCCGCGTTTTCCCTGCGGTCATCGTCATGCTCGAGGAGACGGACAAGACGATGTACCAGTTGGTGACGTCGTTCAAGTTTCATTTTTTTCTGTTCTTCTTGGCAGATGTGCACACGGCACTCAACGCGCTCAACTTGCTATTCCAGAAGCGTCAGGTGAGGTGTTGAGTTACGTAGTGCTTTTCTCATCTTCTAAACCCAGTTACTTATCTTTTGTTTCGGTGTACCTACTCTCCCCCTACCAACAGGTTGACCTCACTGCAGTGCACTCCCAGGTGAGGCGGACCATCATTTACATGGAGCAGCGGTACCTGCACTGTGGCCAGCAGTTTGGCGGTGGGACCAGCGAGCTGCTGTCTGCATTCCTCGCGCGGCACGCCTCCCCGGACTGCCGTGAAGTGACTGTGGAGGGGGTGGACAAGGATGGTGAGGCCCGGGTACACAAGTTCGACCTGCACGAGGAGGCCGTGAAGGGATACACCACCAGCAGCGGGGACATGCAAGGCTGCTACACCTGCTGCCGCTCCTTCGCCCGCGAGCTGGTGTACAACCTCGAGCTGCGCTTGAACGGGGCGAAGCTCTTCATGCCCCGCTCGTGGCCGAGGGGCGCCGAGGCTAGAGACGCCGAGTGCAAGGAGCACCTGCACGGCCTCGTCCATCTGTTCCAGGCCAAGAACCGGGACACGATCTTGCCAGGTGAGCTAGAGACGGAACCCCTATGCTCTGCGTGTATGCGTAGCCGTTTCCGTGGTTGCGTTATTGCCATGTTGAGAGCTTGACTTTCTACCCGGTTGTGCTCTCCTGTTTGGCAGGTGTCCAGAAGCGTGCAGCTCGAGCGGAGCTGCGCACGTTCCTGCCGGTGCTCTCCACTGCGCCCAAGGAAGAGCAGCCCTTTCACGCAGGCTTGAAGGCCATTTTGCAGACCAGCGACTGGCAAACCAGCTACCCCAACCTAGTCCGTCTGTGGGTTGCCGTCGCTGTACTGCCGCTCAGCACAGTCGAGTGCGAGCGCGGGTTTTCCTGCCAGAATGTGATAAAGTCGTGGCGCCGGACGAGTCTCTGCAACGCCAAGCTGGGAGATTTGATGGCGATGTCGCTGCTCGACTACGACATGGACTGGGACAAGGTGGTGGACATCTGGCGGAGTACCAGGAACAGGCGCCCCAGCAAGCGCAAGGAGCAAGCTGCGCCAGAGAAGGAGCGGGCCAAGGCCAAGTTTGTTAAGGGGAGTGGCCGCCGGCTGGTGCAGGTGGAGGAGGAGCTAGATGAGGGCATGAGTGGTTCTGCAGGCGATGACAGTGAGAGTGATGATGATGGCAGCAGTAGCAGTAGCGTTTCTTCTTCAGATGATGACATGAGCTAGTTCTCTAGTAGTACTAGTTAGGTAGGTTAGGTTAGGTATATTTATTTTGGACTTTTTTACACTGAAGGATCAGTACAGTGGAAAATTTTACCCTGACAGGATCAGTATATTGAAAACCACCAACGCTGATTTGGACACCTGGTTGGCAGGGGCACGCTGATCCATCAGCATACCCTCAAACCAATCTGAGGGCCTGGAGGCCAGCCAAGGAGAAGGAAGAACTTGTTGACAATATCCCCATCATTGTGTTTGTCTATGCTTTAGGGAAAGATTTTTTACATTGATTGTACGGTTTATCTTTTCCACCCCCTCAACATTCCATTTTTGGTTTTGATTTTTCCATGTGTGCGCGCGTATCTACATCGGTTTTGGGGACAACTTGGAGTAGAATACCAAGAATGTGAAGAATATTGACAGAGAACAACAGGCATGTTGATGTGCTTTATGGCTTTGCAGCAATTCCTTAGGTGGCAATGTTATATATGTGAGGTCAAACATTGTCAGCTGCATGAAACTGTAAGGAAATTACCTTTTCCTTACTTCGCGTCCCTGCTCAACGCGTACGTCACTGTAGCACCTCAGTCAGCACCGTTACCACTCACGACCATCGCATCATTCATTATCCCGCCCTCTTCGCACATCGCATCCCAACCTCACGGCTCGGCTGGTAACCCGCGCTCCGGGCCTACGCTTCGACACTTTCCCAACCTCAGTCCCAGGCTCGTCGCGCGACAACCATAGTCCATTACCGTTACCACTATTGTTTCGCTATATAATCCTTCGCTCATGCCTTCGCTCATTGTACTCTTTTGCTTCGATAGTGCAATTCTCGTTCGTTCACTCAATTGCACTCGTAACACTTGGTAATCAGAGCCTACGATCTCATCTCGGACCGCATCCACACCTTCGCTTCCCACTATCTCAATTTTTGGGGGGGGTAGACGTCTCTCAGCGACACAGCACCGCCGCTCGTAGTGCTCTCTCGCAAGCACGCACGGCCACGACCGAGGCTCTCGCTGAGCTTGCCCGACACCCCCGCCATGGCCGACCTCACTCTCGCCACGTTGACGCAGGAGCAACTCGATCGTCTCGTGCGACAATTGGAGGATTCGGCGCTTGAAATCGCGACGCTCACGGCGGAACGTGACTCCGCTCGTCAACAGTCAACGGTGAATGCTCCGACAACATCCCATGCACCAACCAATGTCTCTGTACATTCGGAGGAGCCGATTATCATTTCATCCGGCACACCAACGCAACACAACAGCACGGGACAGCGCTCAGGCGCAGCCAGTGACGGCGCAGCCCAACCGATGCCCGGCATGGGAGGGAACAGGAGCACGCTAAGCCCACGGGAGCCCCGAGAAGCCCGTCGGCACGTGGAGTTTGCGACGACAAGTGGTGAAAACGCCATGATGGCCCCAATGCCACTCAAGCCGCAACGCCCGCCCTGCTTCGACCCAAGCCAACGCGGCGGCCCGACAGTTCAATCATGGGTCTTCACGATGAATGTGTTTTTCGACGCCAACTACGTCGAGTCGGACGCCGCCAAGATTCGGTATGCGGTTTCACTACTCAGGGGTGTCGAAATATGTTTGTCATATTTTATAACTGCTTGTAGTTGTAGTGTAGTTATTGTACTTTGTAGGTGGTGCACCAACTTTGTTTCCTATGCTATATGTTTCTTGAAACCTATAGTGAAACTCATTCTCCAATTTCTCTCTTCCAACTCACTCGATACCTCGCCTAGGGAAACCTACTCGACACCTAAGTTCGGGCCTAGGCTCCTAAGCCTAGGCCCCACCTTTCAACTTAATTCCTTTCACTCTCGACATGGTATCAGAGCTAGGTTCGTCCTGGCCTGTGGGCCCACTTTACACTTCCGCTGCTAAGGTTTTCCGGTCGCGCGCGTAGGGCGCGTGACGATTTTATTTTTACATTGTCCCGCCCACGGGCGAGTGACTCCTTCCCTGCCCGTCGCGCGCCCCGTGGCACGCGACGGTGCCCTTCGTCTGCCCATCGTGCGCCCCGTGGCACACGATGGTGCCCTGCTCGTCGTGCGCCCCGAGGCACACGATCGGGCCCTTCTATTCTACCCGTCGTGCGCCCCGTGGCACTGGCCCGCGACGGGCCTTTCCGCCCCTGCACTCCCTGAAGCCGCCCCTGACACCACTGCACCGACACCTTTTCGCCGCTCTGCGGCTTTCTTCCTTCCCACCCCCCTCCTCCTTTGTCTCCCTGCAGCCGCGGGGAGGAGGGTATGGGGGTGGAGGGTGTTGGAGTGTGGCGTCACCTCTCTCCCTTCCCCTCCTCCTTCTTTCAGTCCCACCGCTGCAGCTGCCGCTGGGGGGAGAAGGTGTGAGGATGTGGGGGAGCAGGGGGAGTGGTACCGGGGGTGGCGGGTGTGAGGCAACATGCAGCCGTCCCTCCACCTCTCCTCTCTTCCCCCCCTTCTCTGCTGCTCCTGCAGCAGTGTGGGGGAGGGGAAGGAGGAGGGTGAGGAGATGGAGGGGGTAACTCTTTAATGTTAGCCCGCCTGCATTACCTGCTGTTGCTTGTGATTATTTTGCATGGTGTACCCCCTCAGGGGGCGTAACTACATTTCTACCTACAAGCATTATGGGGGCGTGTCGAAATATGTTTGTCATATTTTATAACTGCTTGTAGTTGTAGTGTAGTTATTGTACTTTATAGGTGGTGCACCAACTTTGTTTCCTATGCTATATGTTTCTTGAAACCTATAGTGAAACTCATTCTCCAATTTCTCTCTTCCAACTCACTCGATACCTCGCCTAGGGAAACCTACTCGACACCTAAGTTCGGGCCTAGGCTCCTAAGCCTAGGCCCCACCTTTCAACTTAATTCCTTGTACTCTCGACAAGGGGCCCCGCCATGGACTGGTGGCGAGTCATCGTGACGTCGCCACGCGCCTACGAGCCACCGTCGCACGAGGAAGGGCCCTCGGGTCCAGCTGTCACCTGGAGTTCGTTCTGCGAAACAGCCCAATACAGCACGTGGGATGTGTCGTGCGCAGGGCTTCGGGCGCGTTTTGAGCCGATCGCGGCTTCGATTTCGGCGCGTCAGAAACTGCGCACTTGGCGCCAGCTCGGGTCGGTTCAAGACTACACCAGCGGTTTTCTCGCACTTTGCGAACAGGTTGGCTACATGCACGAGGCGGAGCGGGTGGACCGTTACGTCGGAGGGCTGAAGCCGGACATATCGCACGAGATAATGCTACGCGGGCTATCGAATTTCAACGAAATCCTCGCGCTCGCCGAGAAAATCGATATCCTACGCCGACCGAGACCGGGGTCCTATTTCGGACATCGTCCTCGGGGACCGATCGAGCACGCCACTGTACATGCCGTCGCAACGAATGCAGCTGCCACGCCATTTAGAGGGCGTTGCTTTGCTTGCAACCGGCCGGGCCATCGCAAGAGCGAATGTCCAGAGGAGCTGAGGCGTCGAGGAGCAGAGCAGGGGAAGGAGTCTCGGAGGCAGGGAAACGCCAGCAGTCAGTAGAAGTTGGGCCAACTACTGACGAGACTGCCTGCTCGCCCAACCACACCGACCCTCACCGAGTCACAGTACCGATTCACGCCATCGATCGGGCTCGGATGAATAAGGAGGGTACAGCGACGGATTGCCCGGTACTGATCTACGGGAAAATACAGGGAGCAGCAGTGAAAATCTTCATTGACGGAGGGGCAAGTCACAGCTTAGTTAATACTGCAACCGCACGGAGATTACAGTTAATACTTAACCGATGTTTACCTGAGATAGATGCACGCTTAGTCGACGGCACGCCATTGGCCATACGAGAAAAAGTGGAGCGAGTAAAAGTCCGCTGCGGGGGAAACTTCGGGTTTACACAGGAAATGCTCGCAACGACGCTGGATGGGCACGACATTTTACTGGGACGTGATTGGCTGCGACGGTACAACCCACGGATCGACTGGACGACGGGGAGCTGCACAGTGCGAAGTAGCGGTAACTGGGTCGTCCTACCTCGCTGGCGGCCACCCGAATCTTCGACAGTCCAAGTCAATGCCATCACGATGAAACGGGCTGTCGCTGCTGGAGCCGACGTGTACGCAGTGGATATTGCAGTGGTAGAAAAGGACGAGCAGCATAATGATTTAAAGAAACTGCTAGCAGCCGTACCGACCGAATTACAGACTCTACTGAAACGGTTCCCGGGGATATTTCCGGATGATTTACCACAGGGACTGCCACCTCAGCGAGCGCACGACCACAGGATCGAGCTAGAACCGGGGGCACAGCCAACAGTACAGCGGCAATTTCGACTGACACAGCCCGAGCTCGACGAGTTAAGGAAGCAGTTAGATTACCTGTTAGAGAAGCAGTTTATTCGACCAAGCTCGTCACCGTTCGCCGCACCCATACTGTTCACACCGAAAAAAGACGGAGGTTTTCGCATGTGCATCGACTACCGAGCGCTTAACCGAGTAACAGTCAAATCGCGATACCCCATCCCCCGCGCCGACGAACTGATTGACCAACTGCGAACAGCACGTGTCTTTTCGAAAATAGATTTACGGGGAGGTTACCATCAGATTCGGGTCGAACCATCGGACTGCGCAAAAACAGCATTCAGGACTAGGTACGGGTCATTCGAGTATACAGTAATGCCTTTCGGGTTGACGAACGCGCCTGCGACTTTTCAGATGACCATGAACGAGGCGTTTAGACCACTTTTAGATAAATGCGTGATCGTTTACCACGACGATATCCTCGTTTACAGTCGGGATAAGCAGCAACACTTAGCAGATCTTGAAGCAGTTTTTAAGGTTTTAGAGGAACATCGGCTGCTCACCAAGGGCTCCAAGTGCGAGTTTTTTAAGGATAGGCTAGAGTTTTTAGGTCACGTCATTTCCGAGGCTGGGGTTGAGATCGACCCAAAGAAGCTGGATACGGTAAAAGCGTGGCGCCCCCCCGACAAACATCACGGAACTGCAGAGTTTTTTAGGGTTTGTTAATTACGTTCGACGGTTCGTGCCCGACATGGCACGTTTAACAGCCCCACTAACTAATTTACTGCGTAAGGGGGTCGCTTTTACGTGGGGGGAGAAAGAGCATGCTGCCTTCTCTGCCCTAAAAACCGTCCTCTGCTCACCACCCGTTCTACGTATCGCTGATCCCCACCGCCCTTTCGAAGTGGTTACCGACGCAAGTGACATCGCCATCGGAGCTGTACTGTTACAGGACTTCGGCAACGGCCTCCAACCCATCGCCTACGAATCACGCAAAATACATCCGCCTGAGCGAAATTACCCGATACACGACCGCGAAATGCTCGCGATCGTGCATGCATTCAAAGTTTGGCGCTGCTACTTGACTGGCGCAGACGTGACAGTACGGACAGACCACCGATCTCTACAGTACCTCCGCGCACAGCCCCACCTCAACCCACGACAGATTCGATGGCTGGATTTCCTCGAGTCGAATTTTCACTATACGGTCACATACAAAAAAGGAGCATCGAATATCGCCGACGCACTGACCCGCCCCACTGCCCAGATCCACGCGATACTACTCGCCCAGACCAGCCCACTGCTTACCGGCCTATTTACCCACGGATATCAAACAGACTCGTTCTTTACAGGAGGCAACTCACAGCAATTCGCAGCGGCAAGAGGAGTCTATTACGTAAAAACTGGAACCGACTGCATCTGGGTACCGGGATACACGCTACTGCGGGAACTACTGTTACAGGAAGCACACGACGGAGTTACCTCGGGACATTTCGGGGTAGAAAAAACACGGCAGCAGCTGCAGCGGTACTACTACTGGCCAGAAATGTTGACCGATGTGCAACGACACGTGGCATCGTGTCCCACTTGCCAGCTCATGAAGTCAAGCAGGAAGCGACCAGCGGGGCAATTACAACCCATCCCGCCTCCAGAGCGTGCTTGGCAGCAGGTGACGATGGACTTCGTCACGGGGTTACCAGCTGGGGCGAGTGGGAATGACGCGATCCTGGTCGTCGTCGATCGAGTAACGAAAATGGCTCATTTCGCAGCATGCAGGAAATCCATCACAGCCGAAGAAACCGCCCGACTATTCATCTCCACCATCGTACGACTGCACGGGATACCCGCGTCGATCATCAGCGACAGGGACACGAAATTTACCAGCAACTTCTGGCGGAACCTGTGGCAGCAGTTCGGCACGCGCTTACAGTTCAGTTCATCCTATCACCCCGAAACCGACGGACAGACGGAACGGACAAATCAGACCATGGAGCAGCTGATTCGAGCCACGTGCGACGACCCGAATACGTGGGAACAGCAGCTGCCACTTATCGAGTTCGCATACAATAACGCACCATCAGCCACGACGCAACAGTCGCCGTTTTATTTGAATTACGGACAGGACCCAACAGTACCCATGACACCGAATCCCGACAACCCAGTCCCACGAGCACAACAGTTCGCCGAGATTCTGCAAGCAGCACGGACCAGGGCAGCAGAAGCAATCAAAAAATCAAACATCATCGCTAAACGTAACGCCGATCGACATCGCAGACCCGTTACCTATCAGCCCGACGACCTCGTATTACTCGACACTCAGAATCTTCGCCTGCCCATCACTCCAAAACTTCGCCCCCGGTATTGTGGGCCATTCCGCATCAGCCACATGATCACACCCGTCACCGCCCACCTCCTCCTCCCTGCTGACTGGTACGTCAGCCCGTCATTCCACGTCAGCCTACTTCGCCCTTACATCCCATCCACGAGCCAACTGCCACGAAATCGCCCAGCCAGCATGACACGTCTCCCAACCGAACCACTCATCACCCCTGAAAAAATCCTCAGCCACCGAGTCCGCGACCCTCGGGGAGCCCGAAGGATAGAGTTCCTAATTCGCTGGAAGGACTGAACGCCCACAGAAGACAACTAGGTCCCCCTGGATAAATTTGAGAACCACCCTGTCTTCCCCGAGTATCTGCGAAGCCGAAATTTCCGCGACGTCCACGCGCTCTCGTAAGAGGGGCCTCCTTGGGGAGGGGGGTAGTGTAAGGAAATTCCCTTTTCCTTACTTCGCGTCCCTGCTCAACGCGTACGTCACTGTAGCACCTCAGTCAGCACCGTTACCACTCACGACCATCGCATCATTCATTATCCCGCCCTCTTCGCACATCGCATCCCAACCTCACGGCTCGGCTGGTAGCCCGCGCTCCGGGCCTACGCTTCGACACTTTCCCAACCTCAGTCCCAGGCTCGTCGCGCGACAACCACAGTCCATTACCGTTACCACTATTGTTTCGCTATATAATCCTTCGCTCATGCCTTCGCTCATTGTACTCTTTTGCTTCGATAGTGCAATTCTCGTTCGTTCACTCAATTGCACTCGTAACAGAAACTAAAAATATCGGGTACCACCGCTGGGATGATACATCTTGGGTTCCCGAGTCGGCTTCAGCTCGTAGCGCACGCGTGAACGCGGTTTGTAAAAAAGTGCGGTGGACCTTGTCCTTTGTGCTTGTGAAATGAACATTCTAGAGCGGGTTCTGAATGTCAGGGTTTCGGAAACGAGTTCGTACTTTGGGGCCTGCAATGTGTTCCATAGCGGTCAGTATGGGAGAGGACCTGCCGGTGAGGTGAAGTGAAAATTATTTTCCACCACAAGTTCTGTCCTCGTGCGCTGCTTTCTTCCTCAGTCTAGAGTCTAGACATGCGTCATACAAGAATGTGACTGCACGTGATTCAGTTATTGTGAACCACACATGCTACCTTCGGACCTGCCTGTCCGTTCATCTTGACACCAAACCAAAAAGTTCAAATGCAGCATGGGTTGAAACAGTGTTACTGAGACGGAGCGGTTTTGAAATGCGTACGCTCCTCAATGACAGGTCTGAGTGGACCGAGTGCGCCAACATTCATTGTGTCGCACGACCACCAAACCCTTGTTTGTGAATCAAATGATGCATTGTCATTGGTTGACGAAGACGAAACCAGATTTCTACGCGAACTAGCTGCGGTGGAGGGTTTGCTTTCTTTGCATGGTTTGCAATCAAAGCAGATGGATCCTCTTCTCACCCATCTCACAAAAATTCTCTGCTAAGCTCAGATTGTGCTGGTTTGCAGGTTTCCAAGGGTTTCCTTATCTTGCTGGTTTGCAGTGCCTGCACTGTTTTTCAGCAGCAAAGCTTCCTGCCTTGATGCTGGTTTGTTTGGAGATCCTGTTTCTGGATCTAGGCTCCACAACTTCGCTTCGCAAACCATTTATCAACCAGATTCGTCGTTCTCCCCAGATTTCCCAAATCGGAGTCCGCGACCTGCGCTTGTGAAATTTCTCCGCAGAGCGCTCTTCAGTGGATACTACAACAAGTACGGCAAGCGACCGCAATTGAAGGGGGTGGAAATGGGAGTTTCGGCACCTTCGCAACACACCCTTTCCATGTTGGGTTGTAGTAAGCGTCCAACAAAAAGAAACAAAACCAGCAGGATTTTTTCCGAATGGCAGAGAGCGACTGCCAACAACTAACCTAAATGCTTGATCGGGCAGCTCGTGTTTTCAGTTCCTGCCCTGAACTGGCTGCTGCCACCAGTCCCTTGTCGTTTTTGCAATTTAAGTTTGAAACTTCCCTGGACAGCTGGATTGCCAGACCACGTTTGGTTGAAGCAGATTTGCTGCTGGCAGGACTGCTATTAGTGTGATGAGCATCTGCCATGTGGCCAACGCAGGGCGGCGGTCAGACCACCGCTGGCAGCAGCAGTGCGGCATTTCAAGATGGCAGGGGGAGGGAATATCATCGTCCCCATGGTACTAGCATTAGGGGGCCAGGTCAAACACCGGGCCAGGACAGATTAGTACTATTCAGAACATCACTGGTAGTTCGATTATTAGTCAGTCTCCCTCTGCTCCTTCCGTCTACTCAATATTCAGTTATTTCAACCCCTATAACGTGAGTGCAACCGGGAGTTTTACCCACCCTAATGCTTCTAGTACTGCTAGTGTTTCAGGAGGTATTTTGGGACCATTTAATGACCCCACTAACTCCTTGGTCCCGCATCAGCTCGCCGCGTTTGCAGCTTACTACTCTGCTATATCGCCCTTTCTTTCCGCGCCTCCCTCGTTTCCCAACCCTCTGCTGAACTTCTTTAATAGCCTCTCCGATACATTTATGACACATTCAAGTTACCAGCAAACTACCAGCACCCTTATGGCCCCGCCCTTCATTTCAGCCGTCCATCAACAACGGCAAGATCAGGGCTGGTTACCACCGTCGTTGATGGCATCGTTACAGTCGCCGCAGTCGGTTGGCATGATGCCACGTGGCTCCTCTCCGCTCTCTGTTCCCAGTATCCGCGCCGGCAACTCGGCCGACACGGCACGTCAGTTTGCCACACATACTACTACTAGTAGTAGAGAGGATCCTACTAACGCAGCAGCAGGAGCAGCAGCAGCAGCAGCAGCAGCAGCAGCAGCAGCAGCAGCAGCAGCAGCAACCACGGCACCCACTCCCTTTGCAGCAGGACCTGTGGCAGCGGCAGAAGCAGCACATGGCGGGGGAGGAGGTTCCGGGATTCAAGGCAGCAACAGCTCTGCATGGGGCGTTCAGTCATGGGCTCCTGGTGTTGCCAGCCCTGTTAGGGGTGGTAACCCTGGGGGCGTAAACAGCGTCTGGAGTGGTACTGCGCCGCAGGCATGGGCGTTGGGAGGTGCTCCCTCACTGGCGCCGGGGATGACAGCAGGGATGGGGATCGATGCAGTTGTTGCCAGGTAGGGGTTGAAGGGAGGGAGGGAGGGAGGGAGGGAGGGAGGGAGGGAGGGAGGGAGGGAGGGAGGGAGGGAGGGAGGGAGGGAGGGAGGGAGGGAGGGAGGGAGGGGAGGGAGGGAGGGAGGGGAGGGAGGGAGGGAGGGAGGGGAGGGAGGGAGGGAGGGAGGGAGGGAGGGGAGGGGAGGGGAGGGGAGGGAGGGCGTTAGGAGATGATCCCTCACTGGCACCGGCGATGGCAGCAGGGATGGGAATCGATGCAGTTGTTGCCAGGTAGGGCTTGAAGAAAGAGAGGGAGGGATGGTAGGGACGAAAGGAAAGGAGGGTTGCCTGGCGAGCATGGGCATTGGGAGGTGCTCCTTCAATGGCGGCGATGGCAGCAGGGATGGGAATCGATGCAGTTGCTGCCAGGTAGGGCTTGAAGAAAGAGAGGGAGGGATGGTAGGGACGAAAGGAAAGGAGGGTTGCCTGGCGAGCATGGGCATTGGGAGGTGCTCCTTCAATGGCGGCGATGGCAGCAGGGATGGGAATCGATGCAGTTGCTGCCAGGTAGGGCTTGAAGAAAGAGAGGGAGGGATGGTAGGGACGAAAGGAAAGGAGGGTTGCCTGGCGAGCATGGGCATTGGGAGGTGCTCCTTCAATGGCGGCGATGGCAGCAGGGATGGGAATCGATGCAGTTGCTGCCAGGTAGGGCTTGAAGAAAGAGAGGGAGGGATGGTAGGGACGAAAGGAAAGGAGGGTTGCCTGGCGAGCATGGGCATTGGGAGGTGCTCCTTCAATGGCGGCGATGGCAGCAGGGATGGGAATCGATGCAGTTGCTGCCAGGTAGGGCTTGAAGAAAGAGAGGGAGGGATGGTAGGGACGAAAGGAAAGGAGGGTTGCCTGGCGAGCATGGGCATTGGGAGGTGCTCCTTCATTGGCGGCGATGGCAGCAGGGATGGGAATCGATGCAGTTGCTGCCAGGTAGGGCTTGAAGAAAGAGAGGGAGGGATGGTAGGGACGAAAGGAAAGGAGGGTTGCCTGGCGAGCATGGGCATTGGGAGGTGCTCCTTCAATGGCGGCGATGGCAGCAGGGATGGGAATCGATGCAGTTGTTGCCAGGTACGGTTTGAAGGAGGAGACAGGAAGGGCGGGAGGGAGGGAGGGAGGGAGGGAGGGAGGGAGGGGGAGGGCAGGGAGGGAGGGAGGGAGGGAGGGAGGGAGGGAGGGAGGGAGGGAGGGAGGGAGGGAGGGAGGGAGGGAGGGAGGGAGGGAGGGAGGGGAGGGCAGGGAGGGAGGGAGGGAGGGAGGGAGGGAGGGAGGGAGGGAGGGAGGGAGGGAGGGGAGGGCAGGGAGGGAGGGAGGGAGGGAGGGAGGGAGGGAGGGAGGGAGGGAGGGGAGGGAGGGAGGGAGGGAGGGAGGGAGGGAGGGAGGGAGGGAGGGAGGGAGGGAGGGAGGGGAGGGGAGGGAGGGCGTTAGGAGGTGATCCCTCACTGGCACCGGCGATGGCAGCAGGGATGGGAATCGATGCAGTTGTTGCCAGGTAGGACTTGAAGAAAGAGAGGGAGGGATGGTAGGGACGAAAGGAAAGGAGGGTTGCCTGGCGAGCATGGGCATTGGGAGGTGCTCCTTCAATGGCGGCGATGGCAGCAGGGATGGGAATCGATGCAGTTGTTGCCAGGTAGGGCTTGAAGAAAGAGAGGGAGGGATGGTAGGGACGAAAGGAAAGGAGGGTTGCCTGGCGAGCATGGGCATTGGGAGGTGCTCCTTCAATGGCGGCGATGGCAGCAGGGATGGGAATCGATGCAGTTGCTGACAGGTAGGGCTTGAAGAAAGAGAGGGAGGGATGGTAGGGACGAAAGGAAAGGAGGGTTGCCTGGCGAGCATGGGCATTGGGAGGTGCTCCTTCAATGGCGGCGATGGCAGCAGGGATGGGAATCGATGCAGTTGCTGCCAGGTAGGGCTTGAAGAAAGAGAGGGAGGGATGGTAGGGACGAAAGGAAAGGAGGGTTGCCTGGCGAGCATGGGCATTGGGAGGTGCTCCTTCAATGGCGGCGATGGCAGCAGGGATGGGAATCGATGCAGTTGCTGCCAGGTAGGGCTTGAAGAAAGAGAGGGAGGGATGGTAGGGACGAAAGGAAAGGAGGGTTGCCTGGCGAGCATGGGCATTGGGAGGTGCTCCTTCAATGGCGGCGATGGCAGCAGGGATGGGAATCGATGCAGTTGCTGCCAGGTAGGGCTTGAAGAAAGAGAGGGAGGGATGGTAGGGACGAAAGGAAAGGAGGGTTGCCTGGCGAGCATGGGCATTGGGAGGTGCTCCTTCATTGGCGGCGATGGCAGCAGGGATGGGAATCGATGCAGTTGCTGCCAGGTAGGGCTTGAAGAAAGAGAGGGAGGGATGGTAGGGACGAAAGGAAAGGAGGGTTGCCTGGCGAGCATGGGCATTGGGAGGTGCTCCTTCAATGGCGGCGATGGCAGCAGGGATGGGAATCGATGCAGTTGCTGCCAGGTAGGGCTTGAAGAAAGAGAGGGAGGGATGGTAGGGACGAAAGGAAAGGAGGGTTGCCTGGCGAGCATGGGCATTGGGAGGTGCTCCTTCATTGGCGGCGATGGCAGCAGGGATGGGAATCGATGCAGTTGCTGCCAGGTAGGGCTTGAAGAAAGAGAGGGAGGGATGGTAGGGACGAAAGGAAAGGAGGGTTGCCTGGCGAGCATGGGCATTGGGAGGTGCTCCTTCATTGGCGGCGATGGCAGCAGGGATGGGAATCGATGCAGTTGTTGCCAGGTAGGGCTTGAAGAAAGAGAGGGAGGGATGGTAGGGACGAAAGGAAAGGAGGGTTGCCTGGCGAGCATGGGCATTGGGAGGTGCTCCTTCATTGGCGGCGATGGCAGCAGGGATGGGAATCGATGCAGTTGCTGCCAGGTAGGGCTTGAAGAAAGAGAGGGAGGGATGGTAGGGACGAAAGGAAAGGAGGGTTGCCTGGCGAGCATGGGCATTGGGAGGTGCTCCTTCATTGGCGGCGATGGCAGCAGGGATGGGAATCGATGCAGTTGTTGCCAGGTACGGTTTGAAGGAGGAGACAGGAAGGGCGGGAGGGAGGGAGGGAGGGAGGGAGGGAGGGAGGGAGGGAGGGGAGGGCAGGGAGGGAGGGAGGGAGGGAGGGAGGGAGGGAGGGAGGGAGGGAGGGAGGGAGGGAGGGAGGAGGGAGGGAGGGAGGGAGGGAGGGAGGGAGGGAGGGAGGGAGGGAGGGAGGGAGGGAGGGAGGGGAGGGGAGGGGAGGGGAGGGAGGGCGTTAGGAGGTGATCCCTCACTGGCACCGGCGATGGCAGCAGGGATGGGAATCGATGCAGTTGTTGCCAGGTAGGGCTTGAAGGAGGAGACAGGAAGGGAGGGAGGGAAGGGTGGGGAGGGAGGGAGCTGTGGAGGGAGGGGAGGGGAGGGGAGGGGAGGGGAGGGGAGGGGAGGGGAGGGGAGGGGAGGGGATTGAAGGGGAGGGAGGGATGGACGAAGGAAGGGAGGTAGTGAGGGAGGGGAGGGGAGGGAGGGCGCTGAGAGGTGCTCCTTCAATGGCGGCGATGGCAGCAGGGATGGGGATTGATGCAGCTGCTGCCAGGTAGGGTTACAAGGAAGGGAGACAGGAAGGTAGGGAGGGAGGGGAGGGAGGGGAGGAAGGGCAGGGAGGGCAGGGAGGCCAGGGAGAGCAGGGAGACTAGGGAGGGCAGGAAGGGCAGGAAGGGGAGGGTGGAAAGGGAGGGAAGGGAGTCGAGGGAGGGGAGGTGGGGAAGTGGGGAATTGAGGGGAGGAGGGCGGGAGGGAGGGAGGGAGGGAGGGAGGTAGGTAATGTTGTGTTGCTGCTCATGTCTTGATTTCCCTCTTTCCCTTCACCTCCCTATTCCCCAAATCCCTTCCCCACCCAACTCCGTCCATCTTCCATCCTCCCACCTCCCTTCTCCACCTCTCTTCGGAACCTCGTCAAGGCATGTGGGACAGCAGCAAAGGCCATCCAACCCCTCTTTTCCAGGTTCTGCAACCCCTAATTCTGCCACCGCCGCTACTATCGGCAACACCACTGCCGCCACCACCGCCGCCACCGCCACCGCTACCGCCACCACCCCGAATGCAACCAGCAGCAGCACGGCCATGTCTTGCAGAGAGAGCACCGGCGTGCCTGCCGCCGGTGTAAGTCCTGCCGCTGCGGCGGCCGCCGGTGCTGCTGCTGCTGCTGCTGCTTCTGCTTCTGCCGGTGCTGCTGCTGCTGCTTCTGCTTCTGCCGGTGCTGCTGCTGCCGCCGCTCCTCCTGGTGCTGCAGGCAGCGCGGGCAGCCTACCCCCAGTGGCAGCGTCGGCACCGCGGCTGAGCCCACCGGACGATGGGTACCACTGGCACAAGTACGGACAGAAGTGCCTCATGGAACGAGAATACGCCAGGTGAGGGATCCACTGGGTGAGAGACCCACTGGGTGAAGCCCCTCGAAGCGAGGTTGTTTTTGAGACGTCTCAAAAACAACCTCGCTTCACTGGGTGAGAGACCCACTGGGTGAAGCCCCTCAATATTTCAACTCTCCACACTTCTCTTGCTTTCCCCTGACTGCTGCACTGCGCCCTGTGGCTTGCTCTTCTCTCTCCCCTCTCTCGTGCGAGAAGATTTTTGAAGCGCCTAAAGAACCATCTCTTGTCCTCCCCCCTCCTTCTCTCCACCCTCCTCCCTCTCTCTCCCCCCCACTCTATCAGGGCGTATTTCCACTGTGCCAAATGTACCATCGACATTCCCCTCTTGAGGTTTTTGAGGTGCCTAGAAAATCCTTTCTTTCCTCCCTCCTCCTCATCCTCCTCTCCCCTCTTCCCTCTTCCCTCTCTTCATCAGGGCGTATTTTCGCTGTGCCAAATACACAATCGGCTGCACCGCGAAGAAAACAATCGACATTCCACTCGTGCGAGCAGCCATTTCGGGGGGTCTGAGAATAGTCTACTCGGGAAGGCACTGCCACCCTCCCGCGCGCAACATCCCCTTCCCGCCCGTTGCTGTTCCAGGCTCTGCCACGATTACTGTCTCTGCTTCGGCTGTCGTTTCTGCTTCTGCTGCTGTGAGTGAGTCTGCTGCTGCTGCTGCTGCGAGTGAGTCTGCTGCTGCTAGTGATCTGGCTTCTCACAGTGACGGTGGTGCGGCTGCTGCTGCTGGTGGTGCCGTTGCTGCTGGTGGTGGTGCTGATGCCACTGCTGATGGTACTGTTGCTGCTGCTGCTGGTGGTACTGACGCTACTGCTGATGCTGCTGCAGCTGCTAGTGCTCCTGCAACTGCTGGTGCTTTGACTGCAGATGCGACTGAGTCGACTCGTGCTGCTGATGGCATTGGTGGTCCAGTTGGTGACAGCGAGAGTGGAAAACAGGCTAGTCCGGGCAATACTGGTATGAAGGCCAGGCTTCGTGCTTCTGATGCCCAGGAAGAGGAAACGCGTGGAACTGATTTACATACTTCTGATGTGCAAAGGCAGGGGAGTGGAGGGAAAACGATCCGAAGGTTTAAGGTGGCTGCTGCAGGGAGACGTGAAGAGGGGGGAGGAAGAGAAGGCGAGAGAGGAGGGACGGAAAGAGAGGAGGTGGAGGGTAGGGAGAGGATGGAGAGCGAGGGGGTGGATGGGCGAGAGGACAGGATGAAGGGTGAGAGAGAGGAGGGAGGTGGAGGAGATGAGGGAAGGGTGGGTGGTGGGAGGAAAGAGAGGAGCGAGGATGGTGTGGAAGGCGATGGGAGTGAGGATTGTGGGAGGAGTGAGAGGATTGGGAGGAGTGAGAGTAGTGGTAGGAGTGAGAGTAGTGGGAGGAGCGAGAGTAGTGGGAGGAGTGAGAGTAGTGGGAGGTGCGAGATTGGTGGGGGGTGTGGGAGTGGTGAGCGTGGTGGGAGGAGGGAGAGTGGTGGAGGGAGGGAGAGTGGTGCAGGAAGGGAGAGTGGTGCAGGGAGGGAGAGTGGTGCAGGGAGGGAGAGTGGTGCAGGGAGGGAGAGTGGTGCAGGGAGGGAGAGTGGTGCAGGGAGGGAGAGTGGTGCAGGGAGGGAGAGTGGTGCAGGGAGGGAGAGTGGTGCAGGGAGGGAGAGTGGTGCAGGGAGGGAGAGTGGTGCAGGGAGGGAGAGTGCGGACGTGGAAGAGAGTGAGAAGGATGAAGAGATGAGAGCAGCTAAGGAAAAGGGCGGAGCCATGCACAGAGGCGGACGCATGGGAAAGAGTGGAAGCATGAGGGGGGGTGGAGGCATGGGGGAGGGCGGAGGCATGGGGGAGGGCGGAGGTATGGGGGAGGGCGGAGGCATGGGGGAGGGCGGAGGTATGGGGGAGGGCGGAGCTATGCATAGGGGCCAAGTCATGGGGGAGGGCGGAGAAGCGGGCGGGTATTGGGCAATGGAGGATGGTGAATCAGCACACGGGCTGGCAGGGATGGATGGAGGTAGAGAAATGGGAGGAGGTGGAGGGATGAGAGAAGGTGGAGGGGAGATGAAGGAAGAAGAGGATGGAGATTTTGCAAGGCGGGGAGTTGAGAGGGGAGGAGGAGTGGGGCGAGGGAGAGAGGGGAGGGGAGTGGGGCGGGAGTGTGAAGGGGGGAAAGTGAGGCGGCGGAGTGAGGGGGAGGGAGTGGGAAGAGTGGGAAGAGAGGGAAGAGAGGTACAGCAGCGACAGCAGCAAGAGGTACAGCCGGGTCTGTCGTGGTCACAGCTTCCGCTGTTCTCCTTCCTTCCTGCCACTCCAGCCTCTCCTCCTTCTGCACACCAGCAACAGGAGGAGCGACAGCAGCAACAGGAGCGACAGCAGCAACAGGAGGAGCGACAGCAGGAACAGGAACGACAGCAGGAACAGCAGGAACGACAGCAGCAACAGCAGGAACGACAGCAGCAATGGCAGGAACGACAGCAGCAATGGCAGAAACAACAAGGGCGGCAACAGCAGCAACGACAGGATGAGGAACAGGAACAGGGACAGGAACAGGGACAGGAACAGGGACAGGAACAGGGACATGAACAACAAGGGCATTACTCACAGCAGGGTCGACAGCAGCATCAACAAAAGCAGCAACAGCAGCAATACCAGGAACAACAGCAGCAAGAGCAACAACAGGGACGACGGCAACAGCAACGGCAGCAAGAACAGAGGCAGCAGCAACAACCACAGCGGAGGCAACAGCAGCAACAACTCCAAGACCAACAGCAACAGCAGCATCAGAATCCACAGCAGCAAGCACTGCAGGAAGCACAGGAGCGGTCGTTGATGCAAGAGGCGCTCCTACAGGACCCTTCATTTGTGTCACATGTGCTCTCAGTGGTCAGGCGCGAGGTGACTGCTGCAGCAGCAGCTTCTGCTGCCGGGGCTTCAGGTGCTGGTGGTGCTGCCAGTGCTGCCGGTGCTGGTGGTGCTGCCAGTGCTGCCGGTGCTGGTGGTGCTGCCAGTGCTGCCGGTGCTGGTGGTGCTGCCAGTGCTGCCGGTGCTGGTGGTGCTGCTGGTGGTGGTGGTGCTGCTGCCACAGGTGCTGCTTTAGGCACATCAGGTGTTGCAGGAGCTTCAGGTGTTTCAGGTGCGTCAGATGCATGGGTTCGGTCTACTGCTGCGAGGGTTCTTACGTCCCTGGCACTATCAGCGGCCGCATCCCCAGCACTGCCATCAGCAGCAGCAGCAGCAGCAGCAGCAGCAGCAGCAGCAGCAGCAGCAGCAGCAGCACCGGCACCAGCACCAGAAGCACCAGCAGCAGCACCAGCAGCACCAGCAGCACCGGCACCAGCACCAGCAGCACCAGCAGCAGCAGCGCCAGCAGCAGCAGCGCCAGCAGCAGCAGCAGCAGCCGCAGCAGCACTAACACCAGCAGCACCAGCAGCAGCACCAACACATGTGCCAACCCAGCCGTTCCTTCCATCCTTCAACCTTGTACCATCTCCCTCCCTACTGCAGCCTCCCATGCATCCCCAACCCCCCATACAGTCGCCCATGCACCCCAACCCACTCGCTGCTCTCAATCCACTCTCTTGGCCTTCCCAGCAAGCTCTGACCCACTCCTTCTTTCCGAATCCATTCGGCGCATTCCCCTCCTCCACACCCCAATTTCCCTCCTCCACACCCCCATTTCCCTCCTCCACACCCCCATTTCCCTCCTCCACACCCCCATTTCCCTCTTACACACCCCCATTCCCCGCCTCCACATCTCAGTTCCTCTCGGCCTACAATCACGCCCTGCAGATGTATCTCTCACAGCAAGCACCCATCCCCCCTCCGTACCAGAACGCGTCTCATGTCTCGCAGTCTCTGCTGCTCGCCCAACAGTCGCAGTACCAGCAACAGCAGCTGCTGCAGCAGCAGATGCTTCGGCAACAGCAAATGCAGCAGCAGCAACAGCAGCAGTTGCAAATGCAGCAGCAGCAGGGTGTTGGTGGTCTTGGTGCTAACCCTAACGCTGTGCAGGATTGGCTGCTACATGCTCACATGGGGAGCCGTGATGATACGAATGCATTTGCTGGTTACGATGCGGCTGGAAATTTTACGAGTGCAACAGCTAATAGCTTAACCCAAGCCCAAAGCGGACCCCGCTGTTGGGCTGAAAAAGGCCCTTAGGATCTTTGCAGGGGTGAACTCTGGGTAGAGTTGGTGTAATAGCGGAAGCGTTAATAAAGTGTTGTGAACCACCTTGCGCTAGTATGTGAGAGCAAAGTAAGTTGATTAAAACAAGGAGATACAAGATTATATATGAATACAGGGAATATGAAAAGACACAGTTATAACTACTTTACTGTTGCTGTTGCGGTTCGATACAGTGACGACTCGGGCAACTGCTTTGTAACGAGTCAGTTGTGTGTCCTTGCTGTCGCGCTGTACTTGTCAGGTCAAAGGTGACTGACCTGTGACTTTCGCGTAACCTCCAGTGGTTACTTCAACCTCCAACGGTTACTTCAACCTCCGAGGGTTGACTCGCTGGTTCCTCGATATGCTTTGCTTCGCTTGTGCCTTAGTGTTTCGACACGACAGAGGCACTTAGGACCGATTGTTTCCAACACCCGCCAAGGCGAACCATCAGTGCCAAGAAGAGAGCAGGAAGAACACGTGTTAGAGCAACCGTCATTGGAAGCAACGCCAGGGATCAATGGTGATAGGGAAGCAGGGGCGCAGGATGATGGACTAGACCTAGTTCTCAACCTTTAGTTGAGTCATTAGAAAAGCACAAGGGAAATTGCATAGCACGATTTTAGCTGGTGCTATGGCAGGTATTGTTGTAGGATCAATAATCAGTAAATTGAGTTGAAGCATATTATTTGCACCAAAATTTTGCTACAAAACCTTGATTCAGATTTGTTTTTTAGCCTCGACATTCGTCCATTCAGTAGACATTCTTCAATTAGTGACCAACACTGGACCCCAATTTCGGTTGGCAAGCTATTGGCAGTACTGCAATGTGCATGCTACCCTTCCAACATAACGACTTGTAATAATGAAGAAGAAAAGAAAAGAAAAGAGAAAGGGAGAAGGAAAGTGAAACCGCCAAGAAGAACCCAAATGCAACACACATAAAACCCCCCCTCAAGATACCCAATCAAAACGCCCAGTCAAGACACCCTGTCAAGACATCCCATCCCACACCCCATTCCCCCCCCCCCCCCAATCACAACAGCGAATCCACCATGTACGGGGCCTCCACCCAGAGAGCCCCGCCTTCCGCATCGCCATCGTCCCACTCCCGGTCCACCAAGTCAACGTTAATCCCCCCCATAGAAGACGCCGCTCGAAGCAGGATGACACGGGCTTGCGCACGTTGCAACGCCACCCCGATGAGCGCCTTCAGTGACCCTAGAAGATAAGCCGAAAACACAGTGTCGTCCTCCCGACAAGCCCCCCGCGACACAGCTAGCCCCACGTGCGCATCTCCCTGCTGACGAAGCCACCTCCGAAAGCGACCGCCGAGACACCCCCACGTCTCCACTATCAGAGGAGTGAACTGCACGCCCCGGTTGCGTGCAAGCAGAGGCGCGTAATCGCTCGTTTTACGACGCTCCCATTCTCTTGCCGCCACGCCTATTTGACGCCCGCACTGTCCTAGCAAAGATGGAGACAGCGATAGCGGGTCCGCGACGCTGATCTCCAGGGCGTGAGCCTCTCCAGCCATTGGTCGTCGCACCGCCACATCAACCCGCTTCCCCTGCAGCACCACACTATCCTCCATTGTCACCACCCCCCTAGACGCCTTAGAGATCTTCGCCACCGCAAACTTCACCTCATCATGTACCCGAGATGGACCATGCTGGTGCTTCCATCTCAGGGCATGATGCGGGTCTGCTGGGTCAACATATGCTGTGCCACAAACACACCTCCCCGCCACCTGCAGCTGCTGAATTGGGAGCCCGAGCCGTGTAGCAGCAGCAATGCCCCACTCCGCCGCCGTGAATGTGAAATCTGAGTGAGCCGGAACCGCCGAAACCCATGCACCAGCCCCCGAGCCCTGAAGGGATGTGAAACGGGCCAGGGTGGCATCGTCACGAGCCGAGCGACGCAGTGTCTGGAGCTCCTCTACCGCCAACAACCGCTGCCGCGCCTGGAAAAGCCGAAGAGGAGGGGCCGCTACGCACAGAGGTAAGCCCGGCATCTCCTGGCGTATAGTCGCAGGCAGCTGCTCAAGAGCCTTGGCAAACCACGGGTCAAGAAACTCCGCCCCTGCCGAAGTGGTGAGGTACTCCGCAAACATCGCCTCCTCGCCCGCCACCCCCAACTGTGCAATATCACGCACGGCCTGCGCCCACCCACAAACATAGGACAGCGGACTCAAAGAGGCTGCTGCCCGGATCCCAAACCCTCCGAGTCGCACAAGGAGATGCAGCTGCATGCGCGGCGGCATAGTCCGGGCCAGGTACATCGGCCTGGGGCCTCCACCACCTCCGGACGCGGCGGCATAGTCCGGGCCAGGTACATCGGCCGTGCTGAAACTGCAATGGCGAGAAGATGTGAAGCCATCTGGGGGTGGTCGAGCAGGGGGAGCCATGGCAATGGCGCCTGCAACTGTCTAAGCCGCTCCCGTAACCGGGTCACCTCCCAACCCTCCTCCCCAATAGGCACGCCCACCACAGTGAGACCCTCCTCCACCCGCTGCATCCCCAATGGCAGTGCCAGCTCCACATCCCCGCCCTCGCGCTCCCAAAACCGGCACTTGTGCGCCTGCACCTCCAGCCCCACCCATTCCAACCGCTCCCGCAGCGCCCCAAACGCCTCTAGAATCCTAGCCGCCGGTCCCAGGATATAGGTATCGTCTGCGTAGCTCAGGAAAAGTAGGTCCCTGAACTCTCTAGTCACCGACTCCATCACCTGCTGCTGCGTGAACGCGAAAAGGAAAGGGCCGAGCGGGTCCCCCTGCCGCGATCCTCGTGCCGACTCAAGGCTCTGTACAAAAGGGCCCGCTCGGAGGTACAGATCGCTAGGTGTCCCGTAGAAAACACGTAAGAATGGGATCAACCCTGAGAAAGGCGACTCCCGCAGCCCCTCAAACATCGCATGACGGTGAAACGAATTGAAGGCGTTCGCGACATCTATCTGCAGCGCACACCAGTCGGGGTGAGTAGCCAGCGCTGACCGGAAAGAATGGGTAAGAATCTCTACTCCGGCCCTGGTGCCCGCTCCCATCTGGTTGCACGGCAGAAAGTAGGAAGCCATCGTAGGGCGGAGCGAGATGCAGAGAGCTCGAGCAAGGATACGCGGAAGCACTTCCCCAATCGCGACCGGCCGGACGTCGCCGTTAGGCTTGGAAAGCCCAACTAGGTTGGATGCGGCAAGCCAGGGCCGAGCCCGCTCGGGGACCTGTCCCGCCACCCATTGGTTGAACACCTCCAACAGGTGGGAAAGGCAGGAAGGTTCAGTGAGGAAGGTGTCGCGCAGATGCTCCGTGACCCACCCCGATGGCCCTGCTGCTGAAGCGCGAGCGGCTGTATGGATAGTTCTGGCCAGGATGTCGGCCGTGAGTGGAGGCCGCTGAGGAGCATCGACGCTGAAATCACGGACCCACTGTGGTACCTCGCTAGTGCTAGCAGGGTGCTTCTCTCGCAGCGACTGCACCATGGCCTCAGACGGCCGGGCCAACTCCCCTGCCGTAAGGCAAGCCAATCCGCGGCTCCACTCTCCCACTTTACACCGAGATCGGCACCGTGACAGGGGGATGGCATCCGGGTCCTGGTCAGAGCAAGTGTAGGCAAGTGGGCGTACTGCTGGCCGCGCCGCCACCATGGCGGAGTCGAACAGCTCCCGCCACCTCCCCTCCCAAAACGCCCCCAACCGCTCTATGATCACCGCCTTCTGTCCTATGCCTGGCTTGGGAGGCACGGCTAGGATGAGGCGCGGAAAAGCCAAGAGTAGGAGGGTAGCGGCTTCATCCCCCGGCCGGCTCTTCAAACGCTTTAAGACGCAACAGAGCGCATCTAAGACCCCCGAGCGAGCCCGCTGTGGGATCCGGCGCACTGTCCTCCCTCCAACCGCCTCCACACTGAAAAATGCTTCCCATTCCCAAGACGTAACCCCGGCCCACGCCTCGTCCCCAAATTCCCGCGGCGTCGGTCGCTCCTGCGTGTCGGTCTCCACCAGTGACGGGGTCGAACCAAGTGCCTGCGCGCGCCTCTCCGCCTCAGCCGCCCGGCATACCCTCATGTGGTTCGCAGCAGCCCCTCGCGTAGCGAACGTGTGAAAACACGTGTCACACAGAAAACGAGGGCATGGGGAAGGCTGCATGGGAGGTTCTTCGTCCGCCTCTGACTCCTCCGCAGTCGCCATGGGGGTATCAAACTCCAAAAGTCGGCACCACTCCTCCAACTGCTGCTCCCGGTCGTCCAATGACTGCCCCCTTGGCTGCTGCTCTATCTGGGGCGCTCCGGTCACCCCCGGCTGCCCCCCTGGCTGTAGCACTCCCAGGGGTGCTCCGGTCGCCCCCGGCTGCCCCCCTGGCTGTAGCACTCCCTGGGGTGCTCCAGTCACCCCCGGCTGCCCCCCTGTCTGTAGCACTCCCAGGGGTGCTCCGGTCACCCCCGGCTGCCCCCCTGGCTGCTGCTCTCTCTGGGGTGCTCCAATCGCCCCCAGCTGCTCCCCTGGCTGTAGCGCTCCCTGGGGTGCTCCTGTCACCCCCGACTGCCCCCCTGGCTGTAGCACTCCCAGGGGTGCTCCGGTCACCCCCGGCTGCCCCCCTGGCTGTAGCACTCCTTGGGGTGCTCCGGTCACCCCCGGCTGCCCCCCTGCCTGTAGCACTCCCAGGGGTGCTCCGGTCACCCCCAGCTGCTCCCCTGGCTGTAGCACTCCCAGGGGTGCTCCGGTCACCCCCGGCTGCCCCCCTGGCTGTAACACTCCCTGGGGTGCTCCGGTCACCCCCGGCTGCCCCCCTGGCTGTAGCACTCCGTGGGGTGCTTTGGTCACCCCCGGCTGCCCCCCTGGCTGCTGCTCTCCCTCGGGTGCTCCGGTCACTCCCGGCCGCCCCCCAGGCTGGTGTGTTCTCTGGGGTGCTCCGGTCACTCCCGGCTGCCCCCCAGGCTGCTGTGGTCTCTGGGGTGCTCCGATCACCCCCGGCTGCCCCCCTGGCTGTAGCATTCCCAGGGGTGCTCCTGTCACCCCCAGCTGCTCCCCTAGCTGTAGCGCTCCCTGGGGTGCTCCGGTCACCCCCGGCTGCCCCCCTGGCTGTAGCACTCCGTGGGGTGCTTTGGTCACCCCCGGCTGCCCCCCTGGCTGCTGCTCTCCCTCGGGTGCTCCGGTCACTCCCGGCCGCCCCCCAGGCTGGTGTGTTCTCTGGGGTGCTCCGGTCACTCCCGGCTGCCCCCCAGGCTGCTGTGTTCTCTGGGGTGCTCCGATCACCCCCGGCTGCCCCCCTGGCTGTAGCATTCCCAGGGGTGCTCCTGTCACCCCCAGCTGCTCCCCTAGCTGTAGCGCTCCCTGGGGTGCTCCGGTCACCCCCGGCTGCCCCCCTGGCTGTAGCACTCCCAGGGGTGCTCCGGTCACCCCCGGCTGCCCCCCTGGCTGTTGCACTCCCAGGGGTGCTCCAGTCACCCCCGGCTGCCCCCCTGGCTGCTGCTCTCTCTGGGGTGCTCCGATCGCCCCCAGCTGCTCCCTTGGCTGTAGCGCTCCCTGGTGTGCTCCTGTCACCCCCGGCTGCCCCCATGGCTGTAGCACTCCCAGGGGTGCTCCGATCACCCCCGGCTGCCCCCCTGGCTGTAGCACTCCCAGGGGTGCTCCGGTCACCCCCGGCTGCCCCCCTGGCTGTAGCACTCCCAGGGGTGCTCCAGTCACCCCCGGCTGCCCCCCTGGCCGTAGCACTCCCCGGGGTGCTCCGGTCACCCCCGGCCGCCCCCCTGGCTGTAGCACTCCCAGGGGTGCTCCGGTCACCCCCGGCTGCCCCCCTGGCTGCTGCTCTCTCTGGGGTGCTCCAATCGCCCCCAGCTGCTCCCCTGGCTGTAGCGCTCCCTGATGTGCTCCTGTCACCCCCGGCTGCCTCCCTGGCTGTAGCACTCCCCGGGGTGCTCCGGTCACCCCCGGCTGCCCCCCTGGCTGTAGCATTCCCAGGGGTGCTCCTGTCACCCCCAGCTGCTCCCCTAGCTGTAGCGCTCCCTGGGGTGCTCCGGTCGCCCCCGGCTGCCCCCCTGGCTGTAGCACTCCCAGGGGTGCTCCGGTCACCCCCGGCTGCCCCCCTGGCTGTTGCACTCCCAGGGGTGCTCCAGTCACCCCCGGCTGCCCCCCTGGCTGCTGCTCTCTCTGGGGTGCTCCAATCGCCCCCAGCTGCTCCCTTGGCTGTAGCGCTCCCTGGTGTGCTCCTGTCACCCCCGGCTGCCCCCCTGGCTGTAGCACTCCCAGGGGTGCTCCGGTCACCCCCGGCTGCCCCCCTGGCTGTTGCACTCCCAGGGGTGCTCCGGTCACCCCCGGCTGCCCCCCTGGCTGCTGCTCTCTCTGGGGTGCTCCAATCGCCCCCAGCTGCCCCCCTGGCTGTAGCGCTCCCAGGGGTGCTCCGGTCACCCCCGGCTGCCCCCCTGGCTGTATCACTCCCTCGGATGCTCCGGTCACCCCTGGCTGGCCCCCGGCCCTCTGCCCTCCCTGTCGTCGCCCCCTTCGGCGCCGCGCCCGCGGCCTTTCTGCTTGGCCCGTGCCGCCCGGGCTAGTGACCCCCTGCTGATCCTGCACCTGCAACTCCTGCGACTCCCCCATCGGCAACCCCTGTTGTACGCTTCCAGTCAAGGGCTGGTTCGCCTCATGACACCCTTGCCGCCGCCCTTCCTGCGACTGGGGTTGATTCCCAATTTGACTCCCCTCCTGCACGCCTACCGGCAGCTCCCCTCGCGCCTCCTCTTGTGGCTCCTCCATCTCCACCTCCAGCCCATGCAGCTCTTGCTGCCCCCCCCGCCTGCAGCTCCTGCTGCCCCCCCGCTTGCAGCTCCTGCTGACCCTCCTCTTGCAGCTCCTGCTGTCCCCCCGACTGCAGCTCCTGCCGTCCCCCCGCCTGCAGCTTCTGCTGCCCCCCAGCACGCAACTCCTGCTGCTCCCCGGCCCCCTAATCCACCTCCATCGCCTCATGCGCCTGCCGCCCTCCGGCCGGCTCCTGCTGCCCCCCCACCTGCAACTCCTGCTGTCCCCCCGCCTGCAGCTCCTGCTGCCCCCCCGCCTGCAGCTCCTGCTGCCCCCCCGCCTGTAGCTCCTGCTGCCCCCCCGCCTGCAGCTCCTGCTGCCCCCCCGCCTGCAGCTCCTTCTGCCCCCCCGCCTGCAGCTCCTGCTGCACCCCCGGCCACTCGTGCTGTCCTCTGGGCCGCAGCTCCAGCCCCCCTCCGGCCCGCCTCGCGCAGGGTCTTTCCTGCAGGGCTCCGGGCGTGCGCCTCCGTTCCTGTCGTTGGGCCAAACGTGGGCCGCGCAGTGTCGGGATGCCGCGTTCGGTGAGGGCGGAGCCCACCAACGAAGTGCCGAGGGCATGGCGACGCCTGTCGTGTGTCTCCTGCAAACGCTGGCGGTGTGCTTCCCATGCTGCCATCGCCGCATCAGGGGCAATGCTCTGCCTAAGCTCCCCGTGTACCTGTTCGCCCTCTTCTGTGACCACCCCGCCTTGATTGGGGCAATTATTGCTGCCGGCTGCGGGGCTGCCCGGAGTGTCTTCAGAGTGTGCCTCCGTCCTCACCTCCGTCGAAAGTGATCCGCACCGTTGGCGTTTGCTGGGCGTGCCTAAGAGGCACTGCTCTTGACTGTGGTGTAGGATACGGATGTCAGAATGTTATCTTGTCTAGCCTGCAGTGGGGTGCTCCATAGCGAGTACAACCCAGTTAGGGTTTGCTATTTGTATCCAACTGTTTGCTAGTGAACTCCCTCTTTCTCCATTCCTGTTTCATACTTTTGACATGCTATCAGAGCAGGTCGATCCCCCTTGGATCGATCCTGTGGGTGGGCTTACCACCTTCTCGCTTCCGCTGCTACTACTGCAACTACCCTCTGAGCCGCACGCCCCGAGGCGTGCGGCATTTTTCTTCCCGCCGTGCGCCCCGAGGCGCGCGGCGGTTTTCTGCCCGCCGTGCGCGCCGAGGCGCGCGGCGGTTCTCTGCCCGCTGTGCGCCCCGAGGCGCGCGGCGGGCTTCTGCCCCGTCGACCGGCGCGTCGCCCTTGGGCGGCGCCGCGACGGGCGACGGGGACCCGTTCGTCGCCCCCCGTCGCCCGTCGTGGCCTGCGCGCGGCACGTACGGGCCGCGCCCGACCCGTCTGCGGCCTGTACGGGCTGCGCCAGGCCCGCACACCACCCGTACGGGCTGCGCCAGGCCCGCGCGCGACCCGTATGGGCGTCGCCAGGCCCGCGCGCGGCTCGGGCCGGCTGCGCGCGGCTCGGGCGACCCTACCTGCGGCCCCGTCGTCCCGCCGCCCTACAGGCCCGACCCCGTCGCCCTACCTCCGGCACGTGCACCCCACCCCCCCTTTTCCCGTCGCCTGTCGTGGCGACCTGCCTCCTCCTCACATGCCAGCTGTGACTACCACTAGCTTTGCTCATAATTGTGAACTTTAAACTGTTGCTTCTTGTAATTGTGCTCAGAATGTGTGGTGACCTTGTGATCCACCCTGAGCTTGTTCTGCTTTGCTTACTGTGCTGATTACACCCCACTTTGGCTATGGGGGTGTGTCAGAATGTTATCTTGTCTAGCCTGCAGTGGGGTGCTCCATAGCGAGTACAACCCAGTTAGGGTTTGCTATTTGTATCCAACTGCTTGCTAGTGAACTCCCTCTTTCTCCATTCCTGTTTCATACTTTTGACAACGGAGATGTGGGTGTTGTGTGTCTAGTGCCGTCTCTCTGAGCCTCTTGGGGCCAGACTCCGACGGGCGCTTCCATCCCCTGGTTGCTGTCCTCTCCTCCACGTCGCCCTGGAGTTCCCCTGTTCGCCTCGGGTCTCCCCAGGGCGGCGCCGGGCGGCCTCGGTCAGGGGGTTCGGGGTTGTTGTTCATGGCGACCAGCGCTTGCACGCTGCTGGGCACTGGCGGGTTTCACGCTGCTACGCGCTGTTCGGTCGGATTTAACGCTGCTAAGGGCGGATTTAACGCTGCTAAGGGCAGATTTAACGCTGCTAAGGACAGATTTAACGCTGCCAAGGACGGATTTCTCGCTGCTAAGGGCAGATTTCGCGATGCTAAACGAGGATTTCACACTGCTAAGGGCGGATTTCGCGCTACAGAGGGCGGATCGTGCTTCTAAGGGCGGGTACCGCGCTGCCCAAGGCGTCCTGGCGCTGCTGAGGCTAGATCGCACTGCCTGGTGGCGTCGGGGCGCCGCTAAGGGGCGATTTCGCGCTGCCTAAGGCGTCCTGGCGCTGCTGAGGCTAGATCGCGCTGCCTGGTGGCGTCGGGGCGCTGCTAAGGGGCGATTTCGCGCTGCCTAAGGCGTCCTGGCGCTGCTGAGGCTAGATCGCGCTGCCTGGTGGCGTCGGGGAGCTGCTAAGGGGCGATTTCGCGCTGCCTAAGGCGTCCTGGCGCTGCTGAGGCTAGGTCGCGCTGCCTGGTGGCGTCGGGGCGCTGCTAAGGGGCAATTTCGCGCTGCCTAAGGCGTCCTGGCGCTGCTGAGGCTAGATCGCGCTGCCTGGTGGCGTCGGGGCCTAGCCTGCTAAGGTACAAAACTAGAAGTAGACTACAGATTTGTTTTTTCCTGATTGGGCTTATGGGCTTTTCCTTATTTAATTTCTCATATGTTTTCTTCTGTTTTGCACTCTGTTAAATACACTCACACTTAATAATCCACCAGAGCGCGTCGGCTTACCGTTGATATTTTCGCCAACACGTCGCGTTCTTTCAGAGAGAGAAGCGCACCGCCATTGGTCTTGCCTTCTCCCAAGCTGCGGGGCATTCCCAAGGGGCACCCTCCGAGGATATGCGTGCGGCAGACCCAACCATCTGCGCTTGCAGCTGTTCGCATGCGTTTGAATTATGGCCCCTCCGCGCACACAATTCGCAAGGGGAGCGTCCACGAAAAAGGTTGAGCCTTTGAGTACTATCGTTTTACCACTGGTACTTTGCCAAGAACTTCTTATCCGTAACTATCTCGTAGAACAAGAACAAACATCTCCCGAGAGATTCCACAGTTAGAGGGGACCTGAATGTTATTCCCACTGCCCTAAAATGCTTAGGCTCTCTTGAAGGAATCTAGTTGGGCGAGAGAATAGCTTGCTTGCGCACTGCGCCGTGGGGGAGTTTGTTCTCACAGGGTCCTGCCTGCCTTTCCCTCCTCCAGCCTGGCAAAGCAATTCCCTAGGAGGTGATTTTCACCAAATAGTTTCAACAAGCACAAGGCGCCGTGGTGTGTGCTTTTCCGTTCCTCTGCAATAGGCCTCCTGTTGTAGGACTGTCCGTTCGTACTATTTCCGCTCGGTGTCTCACTATTAAGGTTTCTGGTCAAGTTTGCGAGCTCACTAAGCTGAGTAGGTCAGAAACCAGGAGCCCTAGGTGACAGAAAAGAATAATTTTCATAAAGTCATCCTAATCTCCAGCAAGACTTGCAACAGTCGCCTGTAGTTTCTAGCAAGCTCCTAACGGTCGCCTACTACATCATCCGCTGCTTGACACGCAAATACTCTTTCCTAATTTTTTTAGAAAAATGGGCTGTTGCGCTTCGAAGCCCAAGACAGACGATGGCCCCTCCGCTCCGCCTAAATCCGAAGCCGCGGCTCCGCCGTCCGCCTCCGCTGGAGCAACCGCTGCTGGCGCGGCGACTGCAAACGCAGCCGACTCCGCACCTCCAACAGCCGGCAAATCCGCGTCCGGAGGATCCAAAAAAGCCGGCAACTTGACGGCGAACGTGCTCGGCCGGCCAGCAGAGGACGTGAAGAATCACTTCACGATCGGGCGCGAGCTGGGGCGCGGCCAGTTCGGAGTAACATATCTCTGCACGGACAAGAGCACGGGCGAGCAGTACGCGTGCAAGTCCATCGCGAAGCGCAAGCTGGTTACCGCAGAAGACGTCGAAGACGTCAAGCGCGAGGTCGCGATTATGCATCACCTCGTCGACCACCCGAACGTGGTTAAAATGAAGGGTGCTTATGAGGACAAGCACTCGGTCCACATCGTCATGGAGCTCTGCGCGGGCGGAGAGCTCTTCGACCGGATCATCGCGCGCGGACATTACAGCGAGCGCGCCGCGGCAAACCTGATCCGCACGGTGGTGTCGGTGGTGGAGTACTGCCACGCCAATGGCGTCATGCATCGCGACCTCAAGCCCGAGAACTTCCTCCTCGCCAGCAAGAAGGAGGACGCGCCGCTCAAGGCCACTGATTTCGGCCTCTCCATCTTCTACAAGCCAGGTGAGCTGGCCTCTGTTAACATCAGTGATGAAAACTCTGGGGCGTCTACCCTTGTTTGTTTTTTTTTTTTTTGGCGCATTGGGTGTTGAAATCGTACCATGAATAGGACGACGGCGAAATTTGTAGGACTTTTTATCACTTCCCAACCCCTCTTTCCACAGGGGAAAAGAAAAGAAGAAGAAAAAGAGTGCGTCAATGCCTGCCTCTGGCCTTTTTTGTTTTTTTTTTTTCACATCCCTTGTTCTTCCACCATTCGAAACTTATCCCTTATCCGCTCGGGCAGGCGAAACCTTTTCTGACATCGTGGGAAGCGCGTACTACGTGGCTCCCGAGGTGCTTCGGCGAAAGTACGGGCCAGAGGCGGACGTGTGGAGTTGCGGCGTCATCCTCTACATCCTGCTCTGCGGCGTGCCGCCCTTCTGGGCAGGTCAGTCTGCCGGCCGTCTAATCAGGTGAGTCTGCCGCCCTTTATGGGCTACATGAGTGGATAGGCAGGTCCGACGTTTGAGTAGGCTTCAATAGGCTCATCAGCTAATCGGAAGGCGGTCGTGCCGTGTTTAGCTTCTGCGGCGTCATCTTCTACATCCTGCTGTGAGCCTTGCCGCCGCATATGGGCAGGTGAACCTGCCGCTCGTCTCTGAAACATCGCTTTGGGAACGTTTCGAAGGTGTCGTAATCTCTAGACTACTTGACCCAAACCCTATTTTCCTTCACCGCGACTTGCTCTTTCAATGCGTTGTTCCCTTCCGCATCCCGTTCACCCCATCTCCCCCGCCTCCGCCGAACCCCTGCATATCGACTTCTCATCCTCCTTCTTGTCCCACCCCCCCTTTCCTCCCTCCCTCACCTCCTCCCCCATCACCCACCAGAGTCGGAGCAGGGCATATTCGACGCAGTGCTCAAGGGGCACATCGACTTTTCCTCCGACCTCTGTCGCCTCACATGCGCTCCCTCCCCTCCGCCTCTTCCTACCAGAGTCGGAGCAGGGCATATTCGAGGGGCACATCGACTTCTCGTCCGACCCTTGACCCCCCTCTTATCCGTCGCCTCACATGCGCTCCCACCTCCTCTCCTCGACAACCTTCCCTTATGACCAGAGTCGGAGCAGGGCATATTCGACGCGGTACTCAAGGGGCACATTGACTTTTCCTCCGACCCCTGGCCGCTCATCTCGTCGTCCGCCAAGGACCTCATTAAGCGCATGCTCA